TCTACTGTATTGTCTACAGTCCTCTACGTAAAAATATTTTTCCTGGTGTTAAAGATTTGACTCGTCACTATGAATGTATGCAAGCGACTTCTGGTTTGCGGTACTGGCACCATGTCCAGTTGTATCACAAATCTCTAAACAACTTGGATTACAAACCTCCCCATGAGAAGCTAAACGAGGTTGATAAATATTCTTTGATAACTGAAAGAAATGAGAAGAGAACCAGGTATTAAACTACTGTTGATAACCGGCTGCGCCAACTCACCATAATTATTTGCCTACCTCCTTTAAAAATTATTCATAAAATATAAAACTTCTCAATCTAATGAATTTAAAAATAAATGAATTGAAAAACAGTCCTAAATACGCTTAAACTACTAAAGGCCGTTATCATTTTATTAGTATGTTATAGATAATTCAAAACCTTCATTTCTCTTTGGTTGTGTATAATTGAAAAAACGTTGTCGGGTTGAAAAGGTTTTCATCAAAGCTAAGACCCAAGGGTATTGTGGGTAGCGAGTGTTTGCATTCAGGCACATGCGTGAAGAGTGACAAAATGCTTTGTTGATTAACTTGAATCAATGCTCGAGAGCTGCAAAACTGCAATATGCATAATATTAGCCTCATTAACTGTTTGCCAAGAACGCCCTTTGGCCTTAACTTCTTGGATTTACTGACATTTTCGACCCGACAACATTTTTTCAATTTGATGTATGTGAGTGTGTTTTAGTTTGTTTGTTTGTTAGTCATGATGCCTTCTTCGACAAGCCACAACTAGCCCTTTAACCTTCTCCTTTTCTTGTCCCCTTATGGTGTTCTTATGCAGTTGTGTAATCAGCTCAACTCTTTAATTCTTCAGAAAAGATTAAATGATAAGAATATTCAACTAACAATTTAAAAAAACCTTCCCACTTCCGTCCATTTTTGGTGATCCGGACAAACGTCGTATCTCTAGATCTCTTTTTACAATAAGTATGAATGGGCATCTAAGCCCAAGCCCACACTAATGCGTTTCACTTATCGAAAGCTCCGCGTCCACACTATGCATAATTAAAACGATCGATCATAAACGCAGATACGATAAGATCTGTTACCTATCCTCCTCGCGCCTCATTGCACATAGGGCCTCAGTTCACAGAGCTCTTCCACCTTTCCCTGTCGGTCGCCACAGTCCGCACCTAATCCCATGAACTCCAGCCTTCCTCTCTCCTTTCTTGCTCCACAGTCCTCCTCCATGTTGTTCTCGGTATTCCCCTTCTTCCAGTTACCGAACTTTATGGGGTGCTTTAGGTGCACGACCCGCGGGCATCCTGCTGGCTTTAGCTCCCGGGAGCCATCAAATCTCTCTTATGAGGTGGTACCACGGTGTCCCCCTATACGGCGAATTTGCTTTAAGCCCTCAGCCCTACCCTCATCCTGGAGGACCAGTGACCCCTAGAGCTATGCCGGGAGGAGTTGTGTATACTCCTGGTAGGGTCATCCATTCCGGGCAGGTCGAAGGGTAGGGATCAGACGAAGAGTAATCCCACTGGCCCTCCATTTTTGACCGGAAGTGATGCAATATCATCATCTTAAAAATAGACGTGTAGGTGTGAATGACGTCGGCGTTTTCAAAAGCCTTGCTTGTTGCCTTGTTCTTGCCTGTTCATACTAATACTGCGTTTTCAAATTTCTCCACTCTGAAGGGCGTTATGGGTTTCTCGGTCGTTTTAAGTTAATGTGGACGCAAATATGATGTAGCCCGATACTACTTGAAGTAATCAGCACGCAGTCAGATTTGATTAACAGCATATAAATACACCGTTAACATCGGGCTATTGTTACCATTCTGTGTAGATCTTTTCAAGTTACTGCTGCCCAGAAGCCTCAGCGACGGTCAGTTGGTGACACAGAAGAGGTAGGATCGTGTTGTGTTGTATTCTCCGGTGCATTCCGATAGTTTTTTGTGTACAATAGCTCGATGTATTTGAATGATTTTTGTACATATGAGGCCAAGGAAAAAGGGTTTCTAAAATTTTGCCGTCTCTATTGTTTCATCTTAGCTGGAAGAAAAAAAAGAAAAGGTAGATAATAAGAGAAAAATGGAAGGTAAGAGTAGAACCACCGACTTTTATTCTCGAAAATAGAAAACTTGTATTATTACTTCATTATCTACAACTCCCAGAATGTATTGCACACTTTCTCACCAATTGTCTTAATATTCTTATGAGGAAATTCAAATTAGTTAAGAAAGAATATTTGCAAAGCATTTTGGTAGTGGGAGTCAAATAAAGCCATCGTGCAGACGTCTCATTTCAGCGATTTGTAGTTGAAAAGTACAAGTGTACAAAAGAACAAATCAGATCCCAGAAAAATGTGTTGTCGTAGTTAATTTGAATCTCTTTTCGCACTTGTTATGTCTACACAGACGAATCTTCGAGCGAGGAAGATGATGATCCACTATCAGTTCTAGATGAGATGAAGACTGATGATGCTGAAGATGAGATAGTAGCAAGTGATAAGTTTGAAAACCACGACGACGATGATGAAGATGTTGATGAAAAGTGTAGGAAATATTTTGACTGCCTTGGTTCAACACCAACCAAAGAGGAACCAGAAGAACAAATAGCCACTCCAGTTGCACATATTGCAAAACCAGAAAACACTTTGCCATTTTTAAATGGTCGTCTAAGTATCTCTGCTCGATTTCTTTCCCGTTCGCTTCTCACCAGTACGCGGTAAGTATTGTAGCTAACACCATTGTAGACCAAGACGATTCCATGTAATATTGCATATGTTCTTGCTAGTGCTACTGGCCAGCAGAATATGGAGATATTGAGTGAAGAAGATGAGGCACAAAAAGCAAGGACAACATCGCTAGAGGAGGTATGTTTACTGTTTGTTTACTTATATTTATCCAACACCATATAAGATAAGCAATCAAAATGCAGCAAAGCCATCGTGTAGAGATATTTCAAATAGGATTTGAAATGATCTGCATGTTGCACTTTGCATGTTGTATGATAAGTAGCAAGCCCAAAATGCACTATGGGCGATGTAAATGCAATCGGCGAAAGGTCACGACAATTCTTGGGGTGCATGTTACGTCATAGCCGCCATGTTGATTGACGATAACAAAGCTCTTTCATTGTTATTTATATCTCGAGGGATTTTGAGTCACAAGGTTGCACCCCAAGAATATGGAATTTTTCCAAACTTTGTCTGCACGTTTTCCCGGCATGCTAGATATGCAGCATGCAACAAATGTTTCGCCAATTTTATTTTTAAAACGGCTGTATTTGTCAAATTCCAAACTTTCTTTGCAAATGCTCTGAAAATTTCAGTGGTATGGGATAAAAGAGTTGAAATCTCACGTCATAGACAAAGAAAATACAGTGCATTGTGGGATTTTTGATATGCGACTACAAACCATTGTATAGCTAGTATAGTCAGTATGTAACAGATGTAACATCAAAATATTTTTAAACATTTAATGAATGGAATAATGTACCATTTGCTATTATGTTTTAGCATAAATTAGAAATCCAGAGACGAAAAGAAGAAATGGCTCGTGCAGTTGATGCTAACCGCAAAAGACTTTCAGCAGTATGAAATAACTTTAATACATATTAATGTGATTATTAATTTATAGCGGTCAGCGGTATGTATCACAACATTATGCGCATGCACATATTTGCGTTGCCTGCATGGGACTTGCATGAGGAGTTGCTGTTTGCCAGCTTTGCTTGTTGTTTGGTTTGCTAAATATCGCTAGTGGTAGCTAAGTTGATTTTGCAGACCCGCACTTGGTCTATTTGCAAGTATCAAAAAATACAGTCAACTCTCGTTACAGCGGACACCCTTGGGACCGTCACTTCATGTCCGTAATAGCGAGTGTCCGAAATAGCGAAAGTTATTTACGGTCATTTCTTTGTCAGTATTTTTGTCAGGATTTTTCTCCTGTCCGTAATAGCATAAGTGTCCGTAATACAGGGGTGTCCGCAAGGCGAGAATTGACTGTACTACTAAAATTCGGAAATTCCGTGAGATTTGTGCCGGAGTGACCCTTGGCTTACTTGCTATGGAAACCTTGCTCTCTTGTTGCTTGCTTCTTTGCCTTGCAAACACTGGTATCACTGCTCTGCTACGACCCGTGTTGTTTCTCATTCCTATTCTAACACTGCAAGATTAGTAACGCCGAGAAGCAGATGCGGAGTGGCTCTAGCTCTTCTTTGCACATTACTATGAGGGTTGTCAATAGCAACGACAACAACAGCAACAACAACAACAACAACAGCAGCAGCAATGGCAACGAAAGCAGCATCAGAAACGATGACGAAGGGCGATACCAAAACAACGAAAACTAACAAACAAACATAAAAAAACGGAATAAACAACAAGAAATACGTTAGCAGTAATAAAACAACAAGGACTTTAATAGCATTCAAAACTGTAACGTATCGTGTTCACATACTCTTTTTTCTATTCCCTAGTTGAGAAAAGCGAAAGAGGAAAGAGAGCTTAGAAATGCATCTCCTCAAGACCCTACAACGGCTGTATCATCTTCAGTGACCATGACCCTGAACCTTTCTCCTCGACGGATTAGTACAGAATCAGAACCTAAACCAATTGTGCCCTCAAAAGACCTATCTGTTAGTGATCTTGGTGCAGCATCTCAACAGCAACGATCACTATCATCACCATTTACTGTTCCTGTATCGTCACAGCACGTGTCTCACACTGAAACGCATACCCAAGAAAATAACATTGATTTGATTAGCACAACTACGGTAAAGACGACTTCTACGAATCTTTTTGAGGTTAGTAATTCTATTATTATCGTGAATACACTCAATTGCAAAATCATTGTCGGGTTACCGCCACCCGGCTAGCTCAGTTGGTAAGAGCGTCGGTCTGTTGTGCGGGAGGTCGTGGTTCAAGCCTGGCCAGACCAACACTCAGGGTCTTAAAATAACTGAGGAGAAGGTGCTGCCTTTGTAATTACATCTGCAAATGGTTAGACCTTCAAGTCTTCTCGGACAAGGACTTAAAACCGTAGGCCCTGTCTCCCAACCCTTCCTAACCTACAGTAAAGTGGGGGACATAAAAGAACCTGTTGAATTATTGGTATAAGAGTAGGGGATTGTCTCCCGGTTCAACAGCCTATTCCAATCTGGAGGCATTAATACTAAATTACTAACAAATCACTCATGATTGTAAGCGCCTAAATACGCAGCCCGTAAAGTCCTCCACTGATCATGATTGTGAAGCGAATTGAGACCATGTAAAATGCGCTATATAAGAACCCCGTTATTATATATTTTAAAAAAACATGTGAGACCGAAATGGCACATGGGAAAAGCATTAATTTGTCTAGGGAATGTTCATAAACTTTTGCACTAACAGAGATAATAGAGGCTTTTAACCCATGTTTCAAATCGACTGTGTATCTCAAATGAATACATCAGAGGTTAATAATGTTATTTCCAAACATACCTTTCAGTCTCAGCTTCTATGTCTGTGTTTGGAACCCGACAGTGATTCTTGAGTGCATACACTTTTTATAAAATAATGATCAACAAACAAACAAACAAACAAAAAATTAATCGAACAAACAACAACATCAGCAACCACATTTCAAGACGCTGTGCTGTAATAAGTATATTAGCCTGCATTGCAGCCGTTGCTTGTTGGTCCTCGTCCGCGATCAGAACCACCAAGGAATGCCTGCAAGGAAGCCTAGTTTATTATATGATATTAAAAGATATTTTCTTACTGTAGACATGTTTGTCAACTGTATCTGTTACACGAACCAACAAGGACCAACTCATTCCTGAGAAGGATGAAAATGTATGGATCAAACGGAATTCTTCTGATATCACAAGAGGAGTAGAAGATGAACCGACGTCAGACCCAGTAAAACTGCCCAAAGACAAGGGAGCTGACGAAAATACTATAAGAGACGCGCAGATTATTATCAGGTCTGAAGTGGCCCAAGATAATTACAGCTGCAAGGTGTTAAAAGAAAAGGAGAACAGTGGCGTAAAAGAAGAAACTAAAGAACAGAAAGAACAAATTACAAAGCCAAGTGAAATGGAAAGCGAACAGACTGGCAAAAGAGAAATGGAAATAGAAAAAGAAAAGGAGAGAGAAAGGGAAAAAGAAAAAGCAAGTGAGAATGAAGATACAAAACAACAAGAGAAGGCAAATATAAATGTTGAATTGAAAGAAAAAACAAGTAAAAAGGAAAGACCCGACGAGAAAGAAAAGGAGAGAAAAGGCGAAAAGGAGAAGGAAAGTAAAGAGGACAAGAAGGAGAGCAAGAAGGAGGACAAGAAGGAGGACAACAAAGACAAGAAGGAAGACAACAAAGACAAGAAGGAAGACAACAAAGACAAGAGGGAGGACATCAAAGACAAGAGGGAGGACAACAAAGACAAGAAGGAGGACAACAAAGACAAGAAGGAGGACAACAAAGACAAGAAGGAGGACAACAAAGACAAGGAGGACAACAAAGACAAGAAGGAGGACAACAAAGACAAGAAGGAGGACAGCAAAGACAAGAAGGAGGACAGCAAAGACAAGAAGGAGGACAGCAAAGACAAGAAGGAAAAGGGTAAAACAGATTCATCTTCTGTCGGTAAACTAGAAAAGAGAGGTTCGTCCAGTTCTTTAATGGCCCAGACCAAATCATCGTGGAGAAGGTCTTTGGGTTTCAGTGGGTTTTCTAAACATAAAGACAAGAAGGAAGAAAGACGAGGATCATCCACGTCATTTGCCAGTACCTTACGTTCATCAGACCAACCTGTCCCCGGCAAAAAATCGGAAAAGATTTTATTTCGAGATAAAAGAGGCAAGGTTTCAGCTGAGGAGAGAAGATCCAAGTCGAAATCTCTAGGAGATTTGGATGCAAGATTAAAACCTTTGAAGGAAGTCTTGATACTTGACCCTTCAGTACCACCATCACATGTGGTGTCTACTGCTGACATACCAAGTGGAGTGACCAAGACAAAAGATGTAGATAAACCAAGTACCAGCTCAACATCACCACCGCCTTTTGCTGATAGGAGGTCACCTATTGGTAAGGACAAAGGTAAAATCCTTTTAGGTTCATTCTCGGTTCCCCTTATTGCGTCAAATTATTATTTATTCTTCGAATGTTTTAACTTCTAGCTATACTAAAGAACTAAAACTTGTTATCGCTTATCACCACCGTAAACTACAGCAGTGGCGCAGCTCAGAGGGGTCGAAATGAAAGAATGTAGGGGTACCTCTGGCAGCTGCTATACAGTCCATGAATGATCCCGGAGCATAGCTCTAACCAGTTTGAGGACCACTTGGCTAAACTAAATGTCCCTTTATAAATATTGACAAAAAATGAAAACTAAGAAAATGATTCTGGTATAGTGATATTTAGACGAACGGAGAGATACTATGATCTGATTTTGAGAACGTATGTCTCTTACACATATTCTTGTAACCGTATATCCACAGACGAAAAGAGTGCCAGCAAGCTTCAGTTGTATCAAGACGCAGTCAATCAGCTGACTCAAGCATTCAAGAGCATCAGCGATTTGCATTCACAGGTATTGTTACTTTTGTATTGCATTATGTTGTTAGTCAAGTCATTAGCTAGGTTGGGCTAGAAGTTGCTTTGGATATTTGCCCTATTGACATGGACATGTTATACTTCTCGTTAAGGTGTTAGAGGATGATAGCTGTGAAGACAAAGACCACATTCTCTCTTTACTTACCAACACCTATTCGAACATGGAAGAGCAATGTAAAGTCCAAAGACTAAATGCAAGTCAAGCATTCAAATCAAGTAACCCATCCAAGTCTTTGAGTAGCAGTCTAAGTTATTCAACGAGCAATATTGATAGTTTACGACCAAGTGGCTCGACAGGAAAGATGAACCGATTCACATCAGAAGCTTGTCTTCCTTCTGCTGTCCATGAGCAAGAAGACATGTCTAGAGAATTGTTGATGAAATACTCGGATATCCTAGTAGAAATGGTCAAAGAAAAGTTAAGCAACTAATAGTGTATATTTCATAGCTCAAATTGAGAGTATTTGGTAGGTTTTCTATATTGAGAGAGAATATTTGATACTAATATATGATGAACAAGGAATTGTTTATATATAACAAAGAATGCATGGCATCTTTTTGTATGGCGGGTGGA